CATATAAGAATAACATGTATTAGATGTTGGGCAAGGGGAGGGGGAGGAGGGAGGAGGGGACGGGCATATGAACAAACAATGAGTATGATGCGCACCCCCGGGGGAATGGACACACTTGAAGCTTGGACTTGGCAGGGAGGGAGGGTAAGGGCATCATACGTAACCTAATCATCTGTACCCCCATAACATGCTGAAATAAAAAAAAAAAAGAAAAAACAATTTGTTAGTCTGTTACAAATTAAATTGGAGTATTTATAAATAAGTCCTCAGTTTCATTACTTTTATATGTGATACATTTTTAAATGCAATTTTACTTTTATAGGGTCCTCCTGGAGCTGCAGGTGCAGAGGGAAGACAAGGTGAAAAAGGTGCTAAGGTAAAATATATGCAGATATTTACAATGTTTGGAAATCACACGCATACATCAGACAATATTTGTTCCAATACATTTAATAAATAATAAAATATTTTCTCATCATTCATGTGTTCATCTGTCTTATTTCCTAACAGGGAGAAGCAGGTGCCGAAGGTCCTCCTGGAAAAACTGGCCCAGTTGGTCCACAGGGACCTGCCGGAAAGCCTGGTCCAGAAGGTCTTCGGGGTATTCCTGGCCCTGTGGTGAGCACCTGTGCTGAAAGATATTATTTTGAAAATAACATTTATTTCTAAAAAAGTTGTTAATGAAGGTGTTTATGTTAGCATTATTTCATAAGTTATTGTGTGGATGTTTTTATGGGAATTCGGTAAATATTACATATAAAATCAGATACTCTTAAAATATTTAAGCATGTCATTTATTTAATAAGTTTATGGTGAAACATTAACTAATAAACAAAGAATAGAAAACTAAACTCTTAGATCTCAATGCTATAAAATTTTTGTACATATATATATATATATATACACACACACACATATATATGGGTATGTATGTGCATATGGACATACACACATGATAAAAAGACACAAAATTGCTTATAATATTTCTAGATGTTCTCCATGTGGTGGAATTCATAGGTGATGTTTTCTTTCTTCCTTTTTGTATTTCCAAAATTTAAAAAAAGAAAGAAATATGTATTCTTTTGTAATTAAAAAAATCAATCATCTCTATTTTCTGTAGGGAGAACAAGGTCTTCCCGGAGCTGCAGGCCAAGATGGACCACCTGGTCCTATGGTGAGTAGGATATTTTTCATCATTTAAAGAGACAATTTCTAAAACAAAATTGTTTATAAGCTAGAATTTTTGAAATTTTAGTTATAAATTATTTTATAGTTTGTACAATTTTCAAGAAAATATATTACTTACATTTAAAAAGATAAAAATGATCCTGATAGGTATGTGGTAAATATGCTACTTGATCAGAAGATTTTTCCTTTCTTGCACCCTTTGATAGGAAAAAAAAAAATATTTCCATTCTGAATAAAATGCCACTAATGACCCAGCCAGTCCTTTTCCTAGTATGGGCAGTTTCCCCAAATGCATGCAATTACACTTAGTTTCCTGGCACTACGTTTAAAAGAGTAATGCTGGCACACACATACAGTGATTTCTAGAGCAAATAAATCGTTCTCTTTATGAGTCATACAGGCTGAAATATAAAACAATAAGCCCCATTAGTGAAGAAGGATGATTCTTACAATACTGAAGCTTGGTCACTATGATGAACTCTGTGTACAAATAGCGTGCTTGAGAAATGCAATAAAACATTTTAGTGACCAGCATACATACTATTCATAGATAGAGTTTATTATAGGATCCACGGCTATCCTTGCTACAAAATTTGGGCAGAAAGTGAGAATGAAAGACTTGCTCTTTAAAACTGTTACTTACTAGGTGACTTGTTTGCTTTTTAAACAGATTCCATTTCATGGTAGAGATATTTGAGCTTCATTGTCCAGAAATAGATATGTGTAAATTGATTAATCCAAATAGCAAACAATACACATAGCACACTATGCATGTGTAATGCATGTGAGTTTAAACAGTCAAATCCCTCCATATAGTAATTTAAACTAAATTCAAATTCCTCTTATCATTAACATATTAATTATCTCAGAGATACATACATACTCAGAAAGCCACCAAAACTGAATTCACGATCTTAATTATTCAGGAAGAATTTTGACCATTCAATTTAATAAAGATGCCACACCAATTTCCTCTAATATACCTGCCTAATATTTCATCAGTGTTAATGAGATTACATTTAAAATTTTACTGAAAGTTTAAAGATAACTCATTTAGTAACTAGATAAATTATCAGGTTTTGGTTGACTTCAAGCAGAAGATTAGCAACTATGCACATTGTCTCATCAGTATAGAAACAGGGCCTTGATTGAAGCAGGATCAGTTCCACATCCGCACTGATACTTAGGAATATTCTCCTTAGATATGGTAAACTACTGCACAGAGTCAGAGCCTGGAAGAAAAATTACTTTGCCTTAATGTCACCCTAAAATTTGCCAGAGATTTTTCTTCCTGTTATTTCAGATTTTCCAATAAGTATTCTGACCTTTCTGCAGATGAAATAAAAAGCACCATGCTGGAGGTTTCCTTCCGCAGATATTAAAAATAAAACCATGAGACATACCACCTCATTCTGGCTTGTAAAAGTTTGCATTTCTGACTCTTAAGTAAATATGAATTTACAGTGCAAGAAGGCAGAGCAACTCAAACCCTTTTAGGCAAAGTGAGATGATCAGCATGAGAAATGAGCTGCATGGGTGCATTCCATTTTCTGACTGCCTGTTTTATTGGACAGTACTTGCAACAGAAATAGATTTTAACTTCTTCATAGCTTTGGTTAGTCTTTACTATGATATCTAATCTCAATTTAAATTCTACTTAGTCCTCATGAGGTGAGGGTGGACAGACAAATCATCTTTAGGATGCCATTTTTGGCAATTTAATGAGCTTTTTGACTCAGAAAGATTTATTTTGGTAGGTAATTTTTTAATCAGAATAAGAAGTAGCTTATTATGGTTATTGATTAAGATTATTGACTCTAGAGCCAAACTCCTTGGCTTCAAAACAAGTGCTATCACTTACCTGCTGGAAAACTGTAGGAAAGTTACTAATTTGTTTTTTAACTTTAAGTTACTCATTTGTAAAATGGGAATATTAATAGCATCTACCCAATGCTATTTATAATATTTAAATGAGCTAAATTGGGATATTAATATTTTCTACTCTGTGGGGTTTTTATGTTAATTAAATTAGTTATTTGCAAAGCACTTTGAAACTATTGATTGACATTAGTATAGCACAAAATGAATCATTATTAAATGAATGAAATAATGGGAAATATTTTGAAAAATAATCAATTTCATATTCTTAATGTAAAGTAACCAAATTTCACCTCATTTATGCATGGGTATCATCAATGAACCTGTTTGCAAGTTGTTAGCTGTTCATTCAAATATAAGAGATCAACAAGTACAATTAACATTGACAGAGTTAGAACATGACACAGTAAGTGCTATAATAGAATCACATCGAGGATGCTAGGTATACTTAGAGTAAGACCATTTAAAGGTCATCTGCTCTAGGGGCCATTCCCTGTTAGAAATATGGTAGGACTACTAAAGAAGGAAAAGAGAGGCTTAAATGTGGATAAAATGTGGGTGGTGAGACTAGCAGAGATTTGAAAACATACAGGTTTGCATTAATCTCTAAAATTAATCCATGTGACAGCTGTATGAATAATACTTTCTTCATAATGTATTTTTACTAATTATAATTATAAATATAGTCATACCCACGTCCAAGTCTACATAGGCTTCAACTTGCTCATCACTAGAATTCCACAAGTACCTACTGGGTCTCTTTTCCACTTCTAGAAGCTGCCTGTAACTTCCTACAGTCTTGCTCCACTGGTCAGACAAAGCTACCAAGACATTCCCCTTTTCCCAACTTTTAAACACAACTTAGCTATTCAGTAAGTACAAATTACCTACTTTCATCTTTCCAGACTGGCAGCTACCTAATTAGACAATTGAATTCTATCTAACATAGCATCCATTACCCATATAGGTAACAGTTGAACAAATCCACAGGACCCTTCTGGAGATGAAATTCTTTGGAATAAAGTAAAACAAACAAATTAAAACTCTCAAAGTGATTTCTGCAGGGTAGGTGCCCACTCTATGTTATCACCTCTACTAAAGATCAGTTATGACACAGTATTGATTTTTTACTTTAAAAATTAAATATTTCACATGGTAAAACTTATTTAGATGTATGAATTCAACATACACACACATACACATATACTTAGAATCACCATGTGGAACTGAGGATAGATAAATAGCCCACAAGCTTATGGAAAGCTAAGAAGAATGATGAGCCTATATGAAGAGTTCTATTAGAGGTTCTTCTTCAAGAATTCCTTGCCCAGGCCGATGTCTGAAAGGGTCTTCCCAACATCTTCGTTTAGAATTCTTAAGGTTTCATGCCTTAGGTTTAAGTTTGTTATCCATCTTGAATTGATTTTTGTGAGAGGTGAGAGGTGGGGATCCAGTTTCATTCTTCTACATATAGCTATCCAGTTTTCCCAGCACCATTTATTGAAAAGAGATTCTTTTCCGCAGTGTATATTTTAGTCAGCTTTGTCAAAGATTAGATTACCATATGCTGATGGTTTTGTCTCTGGATTCTCAGTCCTGTTCCGGAGGTCAGTGTCTCTGTTCCTGTGCCAGTACCATACTGTTTTAGTTACTATAGCCTGGTAGTACAGCTAGAAGTCTGGTAAACTGATACCTCCTGGTTTGTTCTTTTTACTTAAGATTGCTTTGGCTATACGAGGTCTTTTCTGGTTCCATACAAAGCGTAGAATTATTTTTTCCGGATCTGTAAAGAATGATGATGGGATTTTGATAGGGATTGCATTAATTCTGTAGATCACTTTAGGTAGTATGGACATTTTAATGATATTGATTCTGCCAATCCATGAGCAAGGTAGGTTTTTCCGTCTGTTTACATCTTCTACAATTTCTTTTTTTAGTGTTTCGTAGTTCTCCCTGTATGAGTCTCTCACATCGTTCTTTAAATATATTCCTAGATATTTAATTTTCTTTGAGACTATTGTAAAAGGAATTGTGTTTTTGATTTGAACTTTGGCTTGACTGTTATTGGCATATATGCATGCCACAGATTTGTGTGTATTGATTTTGTATCCTGAGACTTTGCTGAATTCATTCATCAGTTCAACCCCAAAGCAATCACCACAGTAACAAAAATAAATAAATGGGATCTAATCAAATTAAAAAGCTTCTGCACTGCCAAGGAAACTATCATTAGAGCGAATAGACAGCCCACAGAATGGGAGAAAATATTTGCTGTCTACACATCTGATAAAGGGCTGATAACCAGAATCTATCTAGAACTCAAAAAAATCAACAAGAAAAAATCGAACAATCCCATCAACAAACGGGCAAAGGAAATGAACAGAAACTTTTCAAAAGGAGAAAGAATAATGACCAGCAAACATATAAAAAAATGCTCAACATCTCTAATCATTAGAGACATGCAAATCAAAAAAACAATGAGATATCACCTAACCCTAGTGAGATTGCCCTCTATCAAAAAATCCCAAAACATCAAATACTGGCAAGGATGTGGAGAGACAGGAACACTCTTACACTGCTGGTGGGACTGCAAATTAGTGTGACCTCTGTGGAAAAGAATGTGGAGATACCTCAGAGAGCTAAAAATAGAAATACCATTCGATCCAGCAATAGCACTATTAGGCATCTACCCATAAGATCACAAAACATTCTATGATAAAGACATCTGCACCCAAATGTTTATGGCAGCACAATTCACTATTGCAAGGATGTGGAAACAACCCAAGTGCCCATCAATCCATGAGTGGATTATTAAAATTTGGTATATGCATTCAATGGAATATTACTCAATCGTAAGAAATGACAGTGATCTAGAACCTCTTATACTTTTTTGGATTAAACTTAAGCCCATTATGCAAAGTGAGGCACCACAAGAGTGGAAGAATGGGCTCCACTTGTACTCACCATCAAATTGATACTAACTGATCAACACTAGGGTGATCACATGGTAGAATACTCTCCAGGGATTAGGGGGATGGGGGGGTAAACCCGCAACGAAAGGACATGGGGAGCATTGTAGGGGGGAAGGGCATGCCTCTAACCCTCGCTTGGGTGAGGCAAAGACATAAAGTGTAACCATAATGTTTGTACCCTCATAATACCCTGAAATAAAAAAAAAAAGTTAAAAAAAAAAAGAGTTCTATTAGAGTTCTTTTAAGTGAACTCCATAAGAGTTGTTAGAATTTTATGAGAATTTTTTAAAGTTTTTAAAAATTTTATTAGAATTATCTTTGAGTAGTCAACAAACATTAAGTGAGAATAAGATTGAGGTTTTTAAAGAGTGATCATGGCTAAATCCTATTCTCTGCTGCAAAGTCAAAATTAACATGATTTAGTAATTTTTAAATCTAATATTTATTTGATTTTTTGAAGGCAGAATTAACATTTGTTTTAATTTTAAGTTTTATTTTGTTTCATATTCTTTTAAAAACCTATTTGTTCTAATGCACCTGAAAAATTATTTAGCATTTATCTTTGGATAAGTTTACTTTAGTATTCTCATACATTCCTTCTTTTCACAAAACAAAATATCTAATAGCATTATTTTTCAAACTATAAAAGACTGAATAAAAGATAAGCTAGGATACTCATTTACAGTTTGATTTTTTTAAATGCTACATTTAAACTATCTATAAACAGATTTGAGATGGGTAGCATTCTATAATGATTAAAAAGTTTTAAATAACAAAGCGTTTGCCTTTCGCCAAATTCTACACTATTTACAATTTTATCTTCTAAATAAAGTATAGAATCTGCAGTTTCTTTAAACTTGAATGTGCTAGAGTTTTGAGATATAGATCAAAGTAAATATTGCACAGAGCATAATATTGCAGGGGGGTAAAGGTTGGCTTATATTTGAAACATCTAAGAATGTATTGTCTCTATTTTCCTTTTCACGTTATTACTTATGAATTATGTATTTCTCTAGGGGTTTTCAATTAACAATATCCTAAAGAGAAAATAAAAAATATGTATACTTGGAAAAACATTTTAATATTCAGAGTATATGTTTTTGATCTGCTTCAGGTTCAAAGGGTTATTTATAACTGCTCTCAATATCATAATGTTACCAATTTCTATTTCCAGATGGTGAAATATAAAAAGCTGATTTTGTTTGGCAAATTTGCCCTTAGATGTAGTTTGTAATTTCATGAGAGATTATTAGTTTAGAGGAATTAATACTCATTATCTCTAACTCCTTCATAAATAACATTTATAGAAAAGATTTAAAATGCATTTAAAACACAAATAATGTCTAGTATATTTCTCACTAAGCCTAAAAAATTAGAATTACTAGTAGTTCTTCTTTCTTCTGGTTTACCATTTTAGTTTATACTATTAGAATGGGATGAGAAAGTTGATAGCTATCTATCTGTAGCATATCTAAAACTAATAAATTGATAGTTAACATTTGTATTATGCTTCACTTTTGATACACTCTATACTGTGGAAAGTGAAAGCACAGAGAAGAGGAGAGAGTTACTATATATTTAAAAGAGAATTTGATAATTTCCTTATAGTCCTCTTTTGGTCTGAGGCATATCTACACTTAAAACTGCACATACTTCCTGTGAAAATAACTTACGTCTATTGTTAATAGAACAATGCAGGGAAATTGTCTACTTTTACATCAATACTTAGAGAATTTCAAATTCATTCATGAATTAAAACAAATATAAACATATCAAATAATAGCCCAAAATTCTGTTGTTACACAAGGACTAATTTATATTAACATTATTCTTAATCTCTCTTGATATTCAGAATTTAAGTTAGAGGAGGAAGCTTCAGAAACCAAGAAATGGAAAGGGCCCATCTACTCATTCTTGCTGCAGCCCTGTGAGATAGAAATAATCCCCAGTTTGCAGAGGAGAAAATGAAGCTCTCTTCGTTTAGCTAATTTAAATTGCTAATTAAAGAGTCTGGCTTCTGTGCCAGGCCTAATCTATTCTGAACCCATACTAGTTTTCAGAGCGCATCTCACTGCTTGGGTCAGATCCATAAAGCTCTTAATACTTTATATTCACAAAAATTATGGAATGGGTTATAATATGCTCCTTCACGCTGAAGAATCAAGGTATCCCTAGATGGGGGAAGAAATTATTCACGGTAGCCTTGTAGAAGATACAATGGTGATGTCTCATGAGGTAACCTGGTAAAAGTGTGTTTATTTGCTTGAATTATAAATAATTCAATTTAATTCAAAATAATTCAGACTTATAGAGAAACCATATTAACAGTTTGCCGTTGTTGGTTGGTGCCTTACTTGTTACAGGCAGTAGTGACCTATCTAAATTACCTTGGCCCTAATTTCAGGAGTCACAAACATATAATAAATCATTATTTAATGTCAGTTATACTTCTTCTGACAGCATCTTTTGCTTGCATTGTTTAATTTATAATTTCAGAACAAAACCTTATTTTCTGTTGCCTTCCAAGTTGGAGTACACCAATTAGTAGATTAAAAAGTTTATTCAAAAGTTATCCATATGAAAATTGCCGTGGGTAGGAGGGCAGAACTAAGAGTTAGCTGCTAAAGTCATGCCATAATTTTCATAAAAATATAACTTAAAAGGATAAAACTCATAGCCTTGCACTATAAAAAAGTTAAATTATTGAAACAGAGGTATATTTATATGAAGAAAGTAAATTTCTTTATTATTAATTTTACGAATCATTTAAGTATGTGATTCAATTTAGAATTTACAGCTAAAAGTGCCATGTTGGGGCTGTAATTTGGAGAAGGCTAATTCTCCCAACTATTACACGAATTTTAAAAACTGAAGAATTATTGTGCAAAACTCCATTGAGCAGCCAGGAGTTAACTCCAATTAACTAATCAGAAAAAAAAATACAGAAACTTCAGCTTTGGATGTACATATTTTGTAATGTGATGACAGAAGAAAATAATATTTTTCATGGAAAAAACATTGGGTCAAGTCATAAGACATGGGGTCAACTCCTTGCTTTTTCCATTGGCAAGCTTTGTGATCTCACAAAATTAATACGTTTCTGAATATCTGTTTCTTTGTTAATAAAAGGAATGATATCAAATTGATTATTTCTAAAACTCTATCAGTACTTAAAATTCTATGAGAATCTAGAGCAGGAATAACTTATACTGACCAGTTCTCTAGGATCTTCAGTCTAGAAACCTAATCAGCAGATTAGTCCTGTGATCTTTTAGTGTTCTTGATTTCAAGTGTTCTGATGGCAGTAAATTATTAAGAGAAAGAAAGTCATCAAATACCATATGTTCTGAAATAGTTATACAATGACAGTCAAGTGCCCTCATATTATAATTTGCTAAGGCCATTTCTGGCTCAATAGTAGGGATTTTCAGTTCAAGATTCAAGAAATTTTGACATTTCTTTTTCTTCCCAAATCCCTCCCAGCCAAGTCATGCCATGAATGTTGCCCTCTCTCACTCTATTGTCTTCTATATAGAAGGCTTTCCCTCTTAAAACTTACAGAGTCTAAATGAGTCCACTTCCTCAAAGACATATTTTCTTTGGTAGTTTGCTAAATTGTCTTACTGCTCTTTTGGAATATCTTGTATATCACCTACTGGAGTACCACCATCTTCTCCTTGCTTATTCCTATCACTCTAAGTAGTCCAAGATCACATGGCTAAACAATTTTGGACTTGGAACCAGAGTGCCAAATTTGAATCACAGTCTTGGTACCCAGAAGTTAAATGACCCAGTTTCCCGCAAGTAAAAAGAACAAAATTGCTACTTCATCAGGATTGTTGTGAAGATTGAAGATTCATTATTAAGACAGTTTTGTAGACTGTGGGGTACCTTATACATGCAAAATGTTATTGGGATTATTAGACATTCTGGTATAGCTCTCTGTCTAGTAATCATATTACTAGTAAAGTATGTCTACTTACAAGAAAACAAAGAATAAAAATTGAAATCAGAATTCAGAAAATTGACCATAGCCTGGCAGCAGTACACAGCTCCATTTTTAAGTCAGTATATACAGAAATTATATATTTTTATTCTGTAGAATATCAAGCAACCATTTTGAGACATACAAATATAGTTGTTATTGAAATATAAACAAAATAGTATATTAAAATTTTTATCAAATTTTTTTTCTGTGGTTATCAAAGATCAATTGACAGTCAAAAGTTTATTGAGATCTTTTAAATTTTACTGAAAATATTATAACCTTTGAAATTTGTTTAGCATAGAAATATTTGATTGACTAGATATATAATCTGGAAATCCCTTCTAAAATTAGCGTAACTGAAAATTTATACTTTCTTCTTGACTGAAAAGCCATATAAACCATATCTTATTTTTAACTTAAGTTTATTTGATCAAAATTATCAATATTATGGTTTAATGTTACAGTTACAAATGAAACTATATTTTAAACATATAAATTTACTTAGAATCCTCTACACTCATCATTAACTATTTTTAAACTCCATATTTCCAAAACCATCCTAGCTCTGTGACTAGTAATATGATACTCTAATTAATATCCACTCTATCTTTGTTTATTTTTTCTTATTATTTAGGGACCTCCTGGTTTACCAGGTCTCAAAGGTGACCCTGGCTCCAAGGGTGAAAAGGTGAGAATAAAAGAATGTGTTACAATCTTGATGTACTAAGAGCAGAGGCAGTTAACTTTTGTGGATTAAAATCACTCAAAAGGAAATTTAAAACAATATCTTTGTCATTCTAACCATGGAAAAAGCTCTGAATCTTTGGCCTCTCAGAAGCATTTAGAGAAGGGAAAATATGCAAATAGTGAAAAATGTATGAAAATCCACTGCTATGTATTCTCAATGTTCCCTTTTGGGAACCATATGGAGAAAACATATGTTATACTAAAATAACTATTCAAAATATAAACAGATTAAGTAACAAAATACCCATTTTTATGTTTTTAAACATGCTGGGGAAGGGGGAGGGTGGTGGGAGGAGGGGGGAGGAGGTAGGAGGGGACGGGTATTTGTATACACAAGGAGTACAATGCGCACTACCCGAAGGATGGACATATTTGAAACACGGACTTGGGGGGAGGGGAACCAAGGGCAACACACGTAACCTAAACATCTGTACCCCATAATATGCTGAAATAAAAAAAAAAAAATTGTAAACTATAAATATCTTACAAATAGTAATTTGATCTCCCAGAATTTGTGCTGAGTTGTACCAGTTAGAAAAAATATGCCTTTTTTATAATGGTATTAATATTGTTTGTATTATTTTAAAATCCCTGAATGTCTTTAAAAGACTGCAAAATCTCTGAAAAATAGATCATCCATATTAAATGAAGTGCTAATTAGAATAATGTGTTTTTGGTTGTTTATTTCACCCATATTATTTATGATCATTATTGGTCTTTTAACTGAAGGAATTCCTCAGGAACACTGGACATGATATTTTTAGAAAGCATTTTGTTCCTAATTACTTTCAGCCCTTAATAAAGCTATCCTTTAAAGTAAATAGTAAATGATCCAGTTAGGTGAGAAGAGGTTGGTTCTTAACCCTATATTCTACTCAGAAGGGTTACTTTATGTATTTATGTGCATTTTTAATTTTTATTTTTGGATTTCATGAATTTAATGTCCAAATATTTTATGACTAGAATTTAATAATGGTTGTAATTTAAATATTATTAAAATTTTTTTCTCTGCCTTCCAAAGGGACATCCTGGTTTAATTGGCCTGATTGGTCCTCCAGGCGAACAAGGGGAAAAGGGGGACAGAGGACTCCCTGGAACTCAAGGGTCTCCAGGAGCAAAGGGGGATGGGGTGAGTAAAAACATAGATAACTTTTCCTGTTCCTCTTGAGTAATACATGCACACACCTTTGCACACATTCCTTTAAACACGATCAAACAATTTAAAGTATCTTTCCTAATCTGCTTGTGTCAATACTGTTTGCGAAAACCTTAGAACAAATGAATTAAAAATATGATTTAAGATAGCAATCATAAAAATTACAGTTTAGTAGTTACTTAAAAATGCATGTATTGAATTCTCATCACATGTAAATCTTATTCTGAGGGGTGCAGGAATATAAACACACACACACCCATGTACATATATGTGTATTTAAAATAAAAAAGGATAGATATTACAGAAAAATGGGGGGAAATTTTAGATTATTTTGCAAAAGTTATTTTTTAGACTCACAGTGGAAAATTTTTAAGCTATTTTTAACTATTGTTGAATTCTCTAAATTTTTGAATGTGTGTTGTTATGTAAAACATGAGAATGGAATACTGAGGAAAGCTATTTAAATTGAATGATTCTCTCTCTAGGGAATTCCAGGTCCTGCTGGTCCCATAGGTCCACCTGGTCCTCCAGGCTTACCAGTAAGTACAAGACCAAAGACTCTTACAAGGCACACTTAAGTGACAGATATACCAAAGTGAAACAAATGCTCTACGTTTTTATCTGTGCTTTTACCTTTGCATTTTCTAGGGTCCTCAAGGCCCAAAGGGTAACAAAGGCTCTAATGTAAGTACTTTTTACTTTGGCATTTTAATTTTTCAATGAAACCTATTTAATTTCCTTTTCTCTATTTATATTCTCTCCCTTTTTCTTTCTAACAGGGACCTGCCGGCCAGAAAGGTGACAGTGGTCTTCCAGGGCCTCCTGGGCCTCCAGTAAGTGCATGTTAACAAGAGAGATGTTCTGATGAGTCACATCTGGAGACTGCCAATGATTTCTCTGAATTTTTAAGATAGACAATAAAGTGCATTCTGTCAAAAGTGCATATTTTATAGGAAATGGTGACTATATCAACTGAGTAATCAGGTCAACATGCCAAGCCTTTTCTTTTAATTGATTTCACTCTTTAAATATAGAGATACCTTACTTATCTATTATAATAACCTTGGTTTTTATTAGTTTTTGAAGGGAATCATACACATTTTATGCCACATTTTAATGAAACTAATTGATTGTATGCCACAAACACAAATTTATATCTGACTGTAGGAATAAAGACAGAATTTCAGGTGTTTAGCTTTTTTTTTTCATAGTGCATATATAATAACAATAAAGGCAATAATAATAGCTAACATTTATCAATATTGACATTTTCCAGGCTTCACACAATTATTAAGGTATAGAATTAAAATATAGATCCATGTGATAAAAATTTTAGTTTTATTTCTTGAAACAATATGTGTTTTAGTTTGCTGGAACTACAGTCACAAAGTACCAGGGAATGTGTGACTTAAACAACATGTTTAATTGTATTGTCTCACAATTCTGTAGGCTAGAAGTCCTAGATCAAGGTATCAGCAATGTTGGTGTCTTCTGAAGTCTGTGGGGAAGAATCTTCCCCACACCTCTCTCCTTGACTTGTAGCTGGCTGTCTTCTCCCTGTATCTCTTCATATCATCTTCCCTCTGTGTATGTCTCTGTGTTTGAATTTCCCCTTTTTATAAGAGTATCAGTCATATTGGATTAGGGCCCATCCTAATGACCTCATCTTAACTAATTTTATCTTCAGTGACCCTATTTCCATATAAGATCGCATTCTGAGATACTGGGAGTTAGGACTTCCACATATGAAGTTTTGGGAGATACAATTCAACCCATAACAAAATGGATTAACTATTTGGTGTAGTTATATTCATAATGTAAATTCAAGTCTGGTTGCATTTATTTTAAGTTTGCTATTTATAAAGATTTAAGTTATACATATTTGAAGCAAGCTAATGTGTACATATTTTTTAAAGTTTAATATTTCATAATATAAATTATTAGCAAGTATAGTAGTTTATTAGATAGTATAGGCACATTAAAATGCTGTTCTAATACTCAGAGACTTTAAAATCTGAGTGTGGAGATGGGGCATATAAATGAAGACTAATTAGTAAATAACAAAGTAACATACATAACATATATCTACACAAATCTTTGCTACATTAATGTATAAATAAAGGGCCAGAAATCATCTCATTTTTGCACCTACCTCAATATCTCCACTAGGTTTTTTATGAAAGAATTTATAAAGTTTACATGTATATATATATATATATATAAACATTATATGTCATATATTTTTTAGATACTGAAAAACTAAACCAGCTATAATTTCTTATAACAAAAACCTAACTGATAATAACTAATATCTACAGAATATTTTACTTTATGAAACAATCATACTCGCAATCTTCTTTGTAGGGTCCTCCTGGTGAAGTCATTCAGCCTTTACCAATCTTGTCACCCAAAAAAACAAGAAGGCATACTGAAGGCATGCAAGCAGATGATAATATTCTTGATTACTGGGATGGAATGGAGGAAATATTTGGTTCCCTCAATTCCCTGAAACAAGACATCGAGCATATGAAGTTTCCAATGGGTACTCAAACCAACCCAGCCCGAACTTGCAAAGACCTGCAACTCAGCCACCCTGACTTTCCGGATGGTAAGTTGATAATACATGACAAGGCAAATGTATGAAGCTCTGAGTTACTGAGGTGCATTGTCACCTCATTAATTCTAGTTAAATGTTTAATACAGTCTCTAAATAAAACGAAACAATTTTTAGTTTTAGTCTTGTAGACAGAAAAAGTCATTTACATGTGCGATTCAAGATTTGCTTTGGAAAATCCTGGTCTGTTAAATATGGTTTCATTAAATTATGACAAGATCATTTTTTGGATGATTATATTTAACACAAATGTATTTTGCCTTATAGTAACTATCATAGATTGGGTATTATGTGTTAACACATATGAGCCTATTACTATATTATACTTAATATGATGAATGCACTAATGTGATTAATTAATGTTAATATAGTATTATAATTAGTACTTTAGTATGAATAATATGGTTATGATTAAATAACATAACTAACAAATATTTGATATATCAGTTTAGCAATGTTTTGGCAAACAGAATATTTAAGAATAGGAATAGCTTGGGACAAAAATGTATCTTTCATTGATCCACAAATAACCAGAGCAACTATGAATTGCTTACTTATTAATAAAAATCAGGATAATTTATTATACCTACTCTTTGACAAAACCTTCACATACATATTGTTGTGAGAAGGTGAGGGTTTCAAGTATGCTAAGCTAGTCTTACTTGACTAAATTCGTACAATTACTAAACTAGCAAGGGGCAGATCTTTATCTGATTTTAAAACTCCCATTTTATACTGAAATATTTTGCCTCCTCTTTTACTACCAAGACAATATTGTTTGGCACTATCAATCGTATCATTAATGGTGCAACTGTGATCTAAATCCGTGGTCTCCCACCTTTTTGGTCCCAGGGACCCGCTTCATGGAAGACAATTTTTCCATAGCCTGTGGGGGTGTGGGTGGGGAGATGGTTTCAGTATGATTCAGGCGCATTACATTTATTGTGCATTGTGCAGTCACACCCCTCTGTTAATAATAATCTGTATTTGTAGCCGCTCCCCAATGGTAGCATTACCCACTCAGCTCCAACTTAGATCATCAGGCATTAGATTCTCATAAGGAGCTGGCAACCTAGATCCTTTGCATGCGCACTTTACAGTAGAGTTCGTGCTCCTATAAGAATCTAATGCTGCAGCTGATTTGACAGGAGGCGGAGCTTATGCGGTGATGCGAGTGATGGGGAGTGGCTGTAAATACAGAGGAAGCTTTGCTTGCTCACCCTCCTCCACTCACCTTCTGCTGTGCGGCTCGGTTCCTAACAGGCCATAGACCTGTACCAGTCTGCAGCCTGGGGGTTGGGGAACTCAGATCTAAATAATTCAGTGTGAGTAAGAAAATTAAATGTAATTCGGAAACAGTCATCATAAAGAAAGAATGTCTTAAATTCTTATCTTAAGCACAGCCTGTTAAAACTAAAACACAGGTAATTATTTGAGTTCCTACACAAACTGGTATCCAAGATCTTCAAATTTATAATGTGTTTATTTGAAAAAGATGTTTTAGTTCAGTGATTTATAAGATTTACTTTTAACTGGCATTATTTAAGGAAAGGACTTAGATGATTTAATTTGAGCTTGTTCCAGAAAATTTCTTCTTCTCCTGAATTTAAATATACTTGGCCTATCAGAAAATTTCTAGTGCATTCGTATGACATTTAGACAAGAATATAGGAAATAAATGACAATATGATATGATTCTTACACTTCTGATTCAAATGAATAAGGTAATCAATCATGCATAATTGAAAATCAAATGTAAGAGATGGCAACATGTATCGAGTTATAAAGCAACGTGTGACTAATTAGAACCTGAGCAGTCAAGAAAAATGTTGTAAATTTTGGGAATGGTAAGTTAACTGTGGATTATAGTTCCCAGTTGTTTCTATGTAACCAGACTTGTTAATTCTTTAATGTACTAATTAATTAATTGAGATTAAATATTGATTGATTGCTGAGCAGTGCCAGGCATTGTTCAGAGATGCATAAATGAACAGAAAGAATAATGTCCTTGGGCTACTTATTATCTAAAGGTGGAGCAGGCAACCCCCCAAAATTAATAATAGCATATCATTACAGATAGTATGAAAAAAAGCTAGGTATTTAGATAATTAAGATATGATTTTATTTTAAATAATAGAATGTTAATGTGTGAGGGCTTGGTCTTTAAATTGAAATCTTAAAGAGATAGCCATGCTTAGAATCAAAAGGGTATTCCAGGCAGAGGGTATAGGACATTTGCAAAGATTTGAAGAAGACAGAGTCTTGGGGTTTTCAAGGAACCAAAAGAAGATTCCTATGGCTGAACAATAGTGAGCACACTGGGAAATTACTTGAAGCAATTTGGAAGGAACCAAAATGGAATCAAAAGAAGCTGGCTAAGAAGTTCTGGACTAATTTAGATAAGAGATAATGGTGGCCTAATTTAGGAATGTGGCAGGAGAAATGGGAGATGAATAAATTTGAGATAAATTGAACATTGTATCCATAGGATACTGAACCACTTTACTGAATGAAGGTATCTTAATAATTAAGAAATTAATATATTATTTGAAAGAATATTCAATGATAATATTAACTCAGTAAAGCAAGATAAAAATGATGCTTCTCATTTCCATATAATACAAAATTATATACTCCTAAGAATCATATAAGAAATATCAAAGATTAATAATGGTTATGAGTGGTTGGTAAAATCTTGGTTGATTTTTATTTTCTTGTATTTTTTTCTTGAGAATTCCACTTTGTTTTAGGAATGAATGTATTGATGGTGTAATCAGAAAAAGTGCAAATGTTTGTGTTAAATATGATATTCAAGTTACCTGACAAATAGAAGATTATTGACTAGTACTTTCCCTGTTTATATACAAGTAGTGGTAGAAAATAAAGCAAGTTGACCTTGAATTTTTGAGAGTTCCAATACTAAGCAATTCAAGCTTTTAAAATGTTAAATTTCACAACTAGAAAATTAATATAATTCAAATTAATATTGAAATGAAGTGGAGCATGAAAAATAGTAGGAAGTATAGGGGAGGAAAGAGTGTGATTCCTTTCCTCTTCATTGTAGGGGTCACAGCTGACAACACTGTAACAAAAGACCAGTTAACAAGAGAAGAACATAGCACATGTGTTTGATCATAGTTCTACATGACACAGGAGCCTTCAGAATGAGGACCCAAGGATATAGGGGTAGTTATCTGATTTCATGCTTAGGTTCAGTGAAGCAGGGAAGCTATATAGAAATGTTATTGGACAAGAAAAGTGCGGGGAGGTAGCTAAGCTCCCAGCAAAAAACCGGGTCCCTGTGGTGGAGTTGCAAGGGATAAGAAAATAATAGAGAAAAATGGAAAATAAAAGAAATAAAAGAATACACAGGGACAAAGATACAGTTTTATAAGTTTATAAAGATTATAGGCAAAGCAGGGTCTCAGGGGGCCTAGACCTTCTCCATGGGTCTCAAAAAACCCCGAATGAGGTCTTACATGATAATTTATAGGGAATAGTGATTAATTGCCAGGGGTAACAGATTTATATAACAGCAGGTAGTTCCTCTCAGGTTAACAGATTTTCAAAAGGCTTCTACAGATCCTTTAACTAATTCTATCTACATGAACAAATGGTTACAAAATCTTTCAAAGATTAACTTCTAAGTTCTAAGGTAAGTTTATCACTTAACAGAGGGGTCAAATAGAGATATGTTGGCTCCATATTTATTAGGTTATTGTGAATGGAGACAAGTAGTCTGGAGTGTTAAAACAAGAGCTTTGCTTTTAGCCATTCGGGCAGCTGTCTGTTCCGGGGGGCACTCCACTGTCAGCTCTCAGCCTGTAGTTTTTGACAGATTCGCTTTGCTTTACAAAGCAAATCCAAACCTTTAGGTCTGAGAAACGTGGCGCCTTGTGGGATATAGCTGCTACTGTCTTTCAGAGACACCCTTCCGAGTGCAACAGCATTTGAAATGCAAACCAACACGTTCACATATTCCTTCAGGGCAAAGCTCTGTAAAACTCCCAAGACAAATCCTGTCTGCAAACACATCTATGTTAATTCATGGAGCAACAGAAAAGGGTATGAACTAATGGTAATAGTTTGAGTGGGGAAACGTGGCAAGGCCTTCTGTTCAGATTCTTCTCAGCCTCTCCATTGTAGCATTTTTTTCTTCCAGGTATGGGGTAGGGTCTTAATTTCTTTATGGCCAGCAGTTACATAGAAAGGTGGGGGAAGGTTAGAATAATATTCTTAGGTTTTATGGTTGTCTTTAGGGGAAGGGGTTCTAATTTGAATGACCCACCTTAAGGAAGAGGGATTCTAGTTTCTCTGACTTGCCTCAGCAGATTCTAGTTTCTCTGACTTGCCTCAACAGAGAATGAGGGGCACAAGACAGGAGGGTGGAAGGTCCAAGAAAAACTTTGCTTCTCAGGCCTTCATTTTGGGAGATCTTTTTATGATTTCCAACAGAATGAAGCAAAATAACGGTCACATATATATCAATTTTGGCTCCCAGTAACTTCTGTTAACACAAACCATATTATCAATTATTTAAAGAATAACTTTGTTTGATTTTATTCCCACTATTTACTGTCTTTATTCACATAACACCAAATTAATGGTTATGGTCATTCACATAAAATTTGTTCTGTAACATTTCAATAATGGCATTAGGAGCAGACTACATTTAATTATATAAAGTAGTCCTTCGTAGGACCTCATTCAAAAAGATAATACATTTACTACAAGAAGTTTTTGCCATAAAGTAAGGCAAAGTATTATCCCCAAGGCTAAACTGGGAGAAAGTATATTGATTATTATAATCAAATTACTTAAGTAGTTAATAATACTTAAGAGATTTGGAATCAGGTATATCTGATTCCAATGTACGTAGTTTATTATACATAGATAAATAGAATGTTAATATTTTAGGAGATGACATTTAAGCTGAAACCTAAGCGTGCTAGGCAAGATAAGAACAAATAAAGGGTATTCCAGGTAGGGTGTATGGGGCATTTGCAAAGCTTCGAGGCAGACAAGACAGAGGCTCATTCTTTAACTATTCAAACATACACCCTGATGTGACCAAAAGCATAAAAGGGAAATGATCTCTGAATACACATTTTTCCTTATTTCTGTTTCTAATATAATTTAATATCTAATGCATTCGATTTTGATATCAATGAATTTGTATGTGATATGTTTTTTGCTGCCTTCTAGGTGAATACTGGATTGATCCCAACCAAGGTTGTTCAGGAGATTCCTTCAAAGTTTACTGTAATTTCACATCTGGTGGTGAGACTTGTATTTATCCAGAGAAAAAATCTGAGGGAGTAAGTACCAATCTGTTTTGGTGGTGAATCTTGACAGTTTCTGCCATGTTTTTGCAATATTGAACTAAACAGAAAAATTATACTGTCATATTTTCATTTATCTGCTTTTCTTACAGGGTAATTAGAGCATTTCATTTGCATAAACATGAATAAAGCACCAACAAGATGCACAGAGTTAAAAAATACTTCTCTCCTTTATTTTTTACCCAGATGTATTCTTTGTGCACCTGCTTGCTCTCTAAAATTCTATGGCTTTCCATGACACAGCACAGCTGAATCTCAAATTTTAGTGCATGTATATAGTATTCTTCTGTCCAACTGCCACATGGTGGAACTCACAGCTGCATATTATGCCAAAATATCCAATTTTATAAAGAATCAATCTTTTATCTAAAATAAGAATATTCCCTGTACTTACATATTTTGAATATTTAGTCTCTTTAAACAGATTCCTTGATTTTCACCTAACAGTATCAATATTAATACTTGAATTCTATCTTTAAAGCTAAATACAAATTATTAACATAAAATATTTTTCACTAATATAATTATATTCTTCAAACATTTTATGTGAGGCATTTTGTCTTTCTTTGTATTCATGTAATAAATCCCATTCTTCTCAATAAGTGGTGTGGGCATACAGAGGCACAGGAGCTCCGTAAGGCAAAGCAAGTGGCTTTATGTGTGGCTAATGTTTTTAGGGGAAAAGTTAAGTTTGTGAGTAAAGAGTGGGTAGTAGAGGCAGGAGAAAAAGCAACTTCCATTTCCCAACCCCACTTGGCACGTGGCAAAGCATAATAGCCCCCAGAGAAGATGTGGGAAAATGGAAAGTGCCTCCCCTTACACTGATTACTCACATTCCCTATGGTGGGGATTTATATTCCCTTATATTCTGCTGATCTTTACGTAGCAAAACAATAAATGCAGGTCTGTAAAGGATTCTCAATATTCTTCCCAGAAGGGAAGGCTTGCTTCCTGCCAGTGACTTTTCTATAGTATCCTCCCCTCTTTGGTTACTGGCTAAATACTTTCAAATATTTCCATTGGCTGTGGAATGCAGATAACACCTGCCTTGCTGGCTAATGATGACTGGTATTTTGAGGATTTTCTTTGCAAAGGATTACTAGGTGATCTCCAGGGGTGAAAGGAAAACTTCCCCTTTACCGTCAGAAAGTTCACTGAAAAATCAACTGACAAAAGACAGATTAATAGGAAAAATGGCATTAAAACTTATTAGCATCCTCGAGAATCACAGAGTGATTGCCCAATATCCCAATAGGGTATAGAGGCTTATATACCTTACTTCTCCAGGGAAAGGGAGATGGGGAAATGTGAATGATTTAGGGGGTGTAGTAACTGATTTTTAGAGGAATTCAGTGTGCTTGAAGAACATAAAATGGCCTGAGACAGTCTGTTGGAACTGCATAGTAGACAATGGTTTGTGACAAAAATCTGTCCAGGTTTGTTGACAGACTTCAGTCTTTCTTCCTGCCATGTGAGTTCAGTTAATGAAAACTCAGGGAAGAGACCAGAGGTAATTGCTTTCTTCCTTGGTGGGTCCAGACTTTAGGCGGATAAAGGAACTTCAGAGAACTTAGTCCTGTTCTTTGGGAGACACAAAAGATTCAGAAACAAGAGGGGGAGGAAAAACAATTGTTCTCCTTGGTGGGTCCCTCAGGTCTCCTCCAGCATATGTTCATTTCTACAAACCTGTAATTCAAAATACCCATTATATCAGGGAGCCATATTTGGGGGTGAAATTCTCTACACTCCCTCAGTTCTACCAGTATCTTCTCTAGCCCTTAGTATGTCTTTTCTGGGTTGTTTTCTCCCTTTCTCTTTTTGAGCCAGTAAAGAGAACAGGAAGGAAATGACTCAGTCTTCACTACATGGAATTCAAAGGATCTAACTGAAAATTTTGTATAATCCATTTTGTATAACCTCGTTTTGTATAATTTTGTGTAATCGTTTTATATAATCTCATTTTGTATAGGTTTAAAACTAAGTTAAAAGTTCTTCAGCTTTTTGGTCATACTGAAAATGACAAATATGTACATAAACAATACTGTTCATAATGTTCACCTGCATTCTAATTTTTCTGCCCCTTTGAAACAGGTAAGAATTTCATCATGGCCAAAGGAGAAACCAGGAAGTTGGTATAGTGAATTTAAGAGAGGAAAACTGGTATGTGATTACCTCAGCATGAAATGTTTTATCTCAGACTTCCTAAGTGAAGCTCAAATTATGTATCTCTACACCCTGACGGTGAAAGTCTAAATTATACTAAGTAGGATTCCATGTGGTCTCTAATTTGCTCCACCCAATATCTCTTAGACTACTGTGGTATCTTAAAGTAGTCTAAAATTTTTTTTAAGTAAATGAAAATATACTAAATTTACTGAAAAAATATGATCAAATAACATATACAGGTCACTAGGTACCTGACATAGATATCCTCAAAATGGAGTATGCTAAAAATATATAAAGAATGTAATATCCACTTAGTATCTGTGGCTCCTACTATTTCATTTTCTGTTTACTTTAACCTAATTTGTTCTTTGTTCTCCATTTCAGTAAGAACTTTTGGAAAGTGCAATTTTTTTTTCTGATTGTTACATTTGGAAACATAGTGAACTTACTGACCCTTAATTTGTATTATAGCATAAATTTACTTGAAGATTTTCATACCATTACCAGTTCATTTATTAGTTTTCTAAAGATATTTTAAGATTACCTGCCAAAACTAAATTCATATTTAAAAGCTGTTTAAAATATACATGTGTTTAAAGTATTTTAATTAGGATTTATTCAAATTAGAGTGTTTCCCATTTATTCAGATAATTATTCAATTGTTTAATGTTTTTAAAAAGCTATTATTTTAGACTGATGATTGTTTATATTGTTATTTCTATACACACCTAGACATATTAATTAATGACATAGTGAAGTTCTTCACTTCTAATTCTCCAGTATAGTCTTCAAGTTGCATATTAAATATTCATGTTACATTCTTATTTGTGTATGAATTTAAAGAAACATACACAGATAGAACTGTATATGTGTATGGTTTGGGGTTTTTTTGTTATTGTTCTGTTTTGTTTGCCTTAGATTGAATTTCCCCTATAGATTTTTTTTTTCTTCAACCTTACAAGAATTCTCATCATCTGACCTGCTATTCAGCATGACTATGTAAAATCAATTATAAGAAAGAAAGTCACAGATAACTGCCTTTACATTGATTTAATCTGTAATCTGGGTGAATTTCTTATCTTTTTTTCTTAAGTTTATGTGTTTCAGCTGAGCCCAAATATTTCAATTATATCAAATCAAACAATTTATGAAGATATTATGAGACATTTTTTAACAATTTAAAACTAGGACTGTTTTCCTGCTTCATATACAGAATAAGTATTGACTTAAAAAATATTTACTTGTGTTGTCTTGGGCATTATGCTTGCTGCTGGCAATACAATAATAAATACACATATCATCTAAGAATGGACAAACAGGCATGTTTGTACTGAAAATTAGAAGGCCAAAAATACCTTAGGGTTCTATAGCCCCAAAATCAAAAGTACAGGAACATATTTAAAGATCTTGATAAAGTAGATACATTATGAAATTTTTGAAAGGAGTAGGCAAAATCAAACTACAACATAAAACCAATTAACATTTACATCTCTCTGAGTTTCGTGGGGTTTCATTGTCTTGCTACTTTACCATCTTGCTTTTTAAAAGATACATAAATATAATGAAACATCCTGGAAACTAAGGCATTTTTTTTTGCAATGTTTACTGTTTAGGAAAGAATAAAGTGATTTTTTTTTTTTCAAACATAAGCAGTGGTTAGTTACTCACGTAGGAATATAATCTTGATTTCATAAAATTCTGTCTCTGGGTCTTCTGACTTCAATATTCACTTTTTTAATTAGGTTAAATGGATCTGTTGATTCATCTGCATGATTCTGGCATCACAGTTCACTATTGACAGTGATTTTATTCTTTACATCATAAAGGAGGAAAAGAGTTCTTATGTGTCTTTATATTCTTTTATTCCCAGCTTACGTATTTAGACGTTGAAGGAAATTCCATTAATATGGTGCAAATGACATTCCTAAAACTTCTGACTGCCTCTGCTCGGCAGAATTTCACCTACAATTGTCATCAGTCAGCAGCCTGGTATGATGTGTCATCAGGAAGTTACGACAAAGCACTTCGGTTCTTGGGGTCAAATGATGAGGAGATGTCCTATGACAATAACCCTTACATCAAAGCGCTGTATGATGGCTGTGCGGTGAGTATAACCTCTGCTTGCCTTCCTTCACAGAGATGAAAGGCAGCATGTAACCATCCTAGTTTTGTCCAAAGCCAGATTTCTCTCATGAATGGATATCAGTTGTTACAAAGATTTGATCCTTGACACTGACATGTTAAAGTACGGTATATTAGAAACTGCTACTATTCCGTGCCCCGCATACGCACACATGCACACAGAAACTCTGAAACATACACATAGACACATTTTTAAAACCATAGCAGAAGATACTCTTGGATCATATGTTACTATTCCTGACATTTGAATTGTATCACAGCTAGCTATTCTTGAAATGAAAAAGAAAATAAAAAACCTTATGTCATTTGCCTCCTTAATTCATGATTCTGAAATTACAGATAAAGGAATCACCATTATACCATTTATACCATAGATAATTTTCACCCCTGTATTTTGTATATGAGGAGTTTGTTAATTGGTACTATAGTTCAACAGTTTGGGGTCTACTATCATTTTTGTTATGTTTCTACTCTAGAACTATCTTTTTCAAACACATAGGAATTCCATATAAGAAAATGCTTCATAGAGCACCCTAAAAAGCTCATTGCTTTAGCTGAGTATTAATAACTGAAGAGAAGTCACAATTACAAATAAATGGGTCCATGTTTTCAACAAAATGAGCAGAGTACAAGAAGAACAAAGAAAACAAAGCAAATTAATGATGGAACAAGAGTTGTGGAAAGCATTCCCAATACTACTATATTGTTAAATATTCATAAAATTAATAAATAGCTTTTGACTTTTGACATTCTGTATTATAATTCTAACAGTGTATTCAAATTTTTCATAAGAATTTAACTATACATATATATCTAAATTATAGCTATGATGGTAAAGATGCAGTATTTATATACGAGGATTAAATGCCAACATCAATTTTCATATTAAATTGTACTTATCAACTCAATAAGATTCTTTTTAGCTGTGAAATATATAGGGGTATCATAGTTGAGTAATTACAGCTAAATGTTAAATGTAATTTTTTTTTGAAATATTTAAAAGTATTTTTATTTGGAATGTTTAGTGAAGCCTCTCTTATACATAAACATTGATCGCCCCCTTCCCTCTGAGATACAGAGGCCAAGGATAAGTAGGCCAGCTTCACAGAGAGGCCCATCTGACTGCAAGATAATTTCAAGGCTAAATGTAATTTTTAACATTCAAAATTTAAAACTATGTCAATGGTAACAAGAAGAGTTCTTACATAGATAATGGCAAATTTGTTTTCTTACTCTCATCTCTTTTACCTTCTTACTTCCATTCAGAAGCTTAAGAAAAAAATAACACTTAAAAATGTCAAGTGATTGTGTAACTTTTTATTTCTGCTTAATTTTACAGTCCAGAAAAGGCTATGAAAAAACTGTGATTGAAATCAACACACCAAAAATTGATCAAGTACCTATTGTTGATGTCATGATCAATGACTTTGGTGATCAGAATCAGAAGTTTGGATTTGAAGTTGGTCCTGTTTGTTTTCTTGGCTAAGATTAGGACAAAGAACATATGAAACCAACAGAAAATATACCTTGGTGCCACCAACCCATTTTATGCCACATGCAAGTTTTGAATAAGGATGGTATAGAAAACAACTTGCCGCATATATATGTACCATTTAAGGAAGTACTGACGTCCTCGTGGGGGCAGAATCACATGGCAAAAGCACTGAAAATTATAAAAATGTAAGATAGTGTGGCTGAGATGGAAACAGGGTTGCTTCTTGACTCCCAATTCTCATCTCTCCTTTTCCTATTTGGATTTCTTTGGTGCTGTAGAAAACAAAAAGAGAGAAAAATATATATTCGTAAAAAATATGGTGCTCATTCCCATCCATCAAGGATGTGCTAAAACAGTGTGTTCGATAAATTGTAATTATTTTGTGTACAGTTCTATGCTGTTATCTATGTGTCCGTTTCCAAAACTTGCACGTGTCTCTAAATTTCATCTGACTTTGATTTTATGACAATTGCAGAACTATCACAGCAATAAATATATGTATTATGAAAAAATAAAGTTGTAATTTCTGATGACTCTAATTCCCTTTCTTTGGTTAATAATAAAATGCCTTTGTATATATTGATGTTGAAGAGTTCAATTATTTGATGTCGCCAACAAATTTTTCAGAGGGCAAAAACCTGGAAGACTTTTGGAAGCACACTATGATCAACTCTTCTCTGTTGACAGTAACTTTGCTGAATTTCAGCCAAAAATATCATACATTGTGATGCTTTATTCAATGCTATACCTCAAACTTTTATTTTTCTCAGAATCCAGGATTTCATAGGATACTTGTATATATGGAAAACAAGCAAGTTTATATTTTTGGACAGGGAAATATGTATGAGAAACTATTTTAACAAACCAATGCTTCCATCAAGCAAATGATCATATGTACAATTTTTTCTACCTTATTTCATCTCATTGTTTTCAGTGTGCTTCAATAATGCAGGTTAATATTAAAGATGGAAATTAAGTAATTATTTATGAATTTGTGCAATGTTAAATTTTTAAATCTATCAACTTCTTGAATTTGATTCTAAGCTGCATATAATAATAGTCTCAAATATTATTTTACCTGCCCAACAAATATTTCTTTTCTTTCAAGATAATTTCGTGAATCATGTGACCTACCTAATTGCTAAATAACATATGGGTGGACTGTTACTAACAGTACTTGTTTTAAAAGTCATACGTATTCAAGGCAATCAAAACATTTTTTTCCACTAAGGTATTTTCTTTCAGGTAGTTTGAAATAGCAGTAAAACTTAAAAATTACAAACTGAACTTTGTATCTATTTTAAGTAATATATGTAAGACTTGAAAATAAATGTTTTATTATTTCTTATATAAAGTGTTAAATTAATTGATACCAGATTCCACTGGAACATTTTCAACTGGTAATTTATCACAAAAGAGCATACCTGCAATATTGAAATTAAAACGTGAACATTTGTCATTCAGAATTTCTTTTATTTTTGAAATCAAGTTTGTAAATGTCCTTTTAAGAAGGGAGATATGAATCCTATAAATAAACTCAAGTCTTGTCTACCTGGATTGGTCATTCTCTTTCTTAAATAGTTTCCAAATTATTCACTATTGCAGAAAAGGCTTTTGATTCTCTTTCTTGACCATCCAGATTAGAATAGTTTTACACTTTTGAATAAACATAGTATCATTCAGAGATAAGTTGTTTAAATCCCCCACATGAGTAAAATAGTAAACACCACATGGTAATTTTACATTTATAAAATAAATATACATTATAGTTAAAATTTCAAATACATATCATTATAATTAAACATTTTATAATGTCTCAAACATATGTTTATAATTTCAGCAGTAAAAATATCCCCGGAACTTTTCATTAGACATATAGTCCCTAAGATATACATAAAATAATATTTATTTTATAGAGCAATTCTACACATCAGACAATTTAATGAATGTGTAGCGATAAGAGAATAATTTGCGTATTAGCCTGCATCAGGACTGCAGTGTTTTGTCCATTTAAAAAAATTAATCTTAAATTTTGCACTCAATAGAATGAATGGATAACTGAATGTCCTTTCTCTTCTTTTCATATATGGATATGGTCTTCTTTATGACATCAGATTTTCTTCTCTCCCTTTTGATTAATTTGATCTGGACAAAAGAAATCTCAATAGAAAGAAAAAGCATATTGGATGACATTTTCGTATTGGCCC